GGGATTTTTAGCTATGTGATCACATGAAAGCTATGTGAAATTCAGATGGTTTTCATCCATTAGATATGTGTTAAATTTTTTGAGTGATAGTAACATTCTCCAGAATGGATATTTTCCATTAGAGTAATAAATTCCAAAGATTGGCAAATGGAATTCCTTTCGAGGCCATTACTGGGATACACCATAAATGTAATGTATAGCCATAACTCGTACATCTACGCTATTCAAATGAAAATTAATATAAATTGCTTTAATTTTTTTCACACAGGCTTGCCACAAATCATAACGCTAAATTCTTAAATACTTTAACTAGCAGTCCAAATTTCGCACTCTGGCACCACCTACTGAGTCAATTTTTAACGGAGCTGTTTATTAATAAACTAATCAAGCCAATTTTATCAACTTTTCTTTAGAAAGGAATGTCTTAACTGGTCTCGAGTTTGGTCAAGTTAGCAATTAGCACTAAAAGAACAATGTTTTACTCTAGTGCCACCTGACGAATTAATTCTAAACTAAACTGCTCGCTATGAACGGATCTCGTACTCTTGTAAATGCAAGTAAATTCGCAACTCAAATGTTTACTGCCACAATGGTCTTATCCAGGTAAACACATTTGCTGAAGGCAAATCTGGCAATCTGGAGAATTCTATCTAATTTTCTCTTCCTCTCTTTAACCAGTCAATTCCCAACTAAACTGCTCACTACTGAATGGGTATCGTCATATATTTTTGAAAACTCCGCATACGTACCAATAAACCACAGGCAAACGAACATAACGCATTGAGTATTTTTTGCTATAAGACCTAGTCATTAAAACATTGCCGCCATATGGTAATGGTAATGGTCAGTACTATCAACAGATGGCGGTAGTGTGTAAACGTCAAACGCAAATTGACCGTTAAATGCGTATTCGATGAAAACATGCAAGTTTTATATCTGGTTGTCTGTGCTTAAACAAAGATCCTAAGATGCAATCTACCAAAAATAAATTAGATAGGGGAAATGCAGCTTATGTTCGGCCTAAGTGTCCCTAATTTCTGCCCATACATAAATTCAGCAATCGACTAAATTTTCAATAGCAACCAAAAATATTCATTAGTAACGTCCCAATAACGCGTTCATCTAGATAAAATTGATAAATAGCAGATTTTTAGCGATGGGCCCAATATTAGATACATAGGCCAACAATTAGAGACATTTCCCCTATATTCAATTACTATTGAGAAATTGATGAAAATATACCAAACGAAAAAAAATCCCCTCTTTGTAATAAGAATTCGCTTTAATCAATATCGCTTTTTTCTTCGTTTGTTACAACTTTCAATTAATATTTCAACTTCGTGCTAATATGTTGATTAACTTAAATAATTTTAAACTTCAGCCATCAACATTAGTATGATCAAACACTAGCGAATAAATAAACACTAGTAGTAGCAGTTCAAAAATGTACCATCCAGCAGGGAAAAAGCTCTATTTTCTTCGATACAGTGAACTCAGCAGGAAAAAAGCTCTGTACAGCAGCGAAATGTGAAGATAGCAGGAAAAAAGTTCTTACCTACTAGGGTTAACTACCTCATTTCCGGCCTATTAAGCACAACCCGCACTTAGTATTTCTTAATCAAGCGCAGTTTAGCAAGAAACGGAATGTTATTATTACTGATGGCTTCAAAATTTATTTACCTTTCCGTATACGGTAAGATTTGATAAAGAGAAACCAATCGTTGAGATATTGTCAAAAGTCTAACACTGCTTCTTGACGCCAAACTCGGCCTACGGATTCTAAACTCGGCCTAACGCATTGAAACGCCATTGAAACGCCAATGAATTAACTTCGGCCTATCGGATGAAGATAAAAATTAATTCGGTCGGAGCGCTTCTTTTGTTTTTGGGAATAATGGGTGCCAACCTTCATATCACCTTATTAGCTAAAGTTCCATACGCACAATTGACTTGTTAACTCTGAAATCATGGATTTATTTGATGTTTTCTGCTCGATAGGCCCAAAATGGGCGATTAGGCTGAAGTAGTTCTCTACCCTACTTGATACAGCAGAGTGAATATGAGAGGCGTGGCACAGACAGCAAAAAAAAATAATCGTTTGTACTCTGCTATCGTCCTTGTGTGAGTTTTTTTCCTGCTTGCTTCGCATTTTGCTACTGTACCTACATTTGTTTTCCTGCTTATGAAGTGTTTACATCTGTGCGGATTAGCTAGCACTAGTGTACTAGCCAACTAGCGTGAATTTCAGTTGCTCCTGAAAATCATGCTGGTAGACGCTGATGCCCTGTTTACATTGTGCTGGTGAGTTTTTTTTGCTAGCAGCTGGCTAATTAGCGCTAGTGAAATAGCATAAGTAAATTTGTTACCCCTAAGCTCGAGATAGCCGCGAGTAATCGGCCCCCGCTTTACTAACGTTAGTTTTAAGTAATTTTGTAACCCAAACGATGAATATCGGCTCCGCAAAGCTACGGCAAATGAGCCTGGAAAAATAAACGCATTAAAAAAAGAAATAGCATAAGTGTAAACACCCTATTCGTGTTGAATTGGCGGATGGCGTTTGCCGTATAGGAAATAATACGGCAATAATAGCAATATGTAATCTCCTCCTTCTTCTTTATGTGATGAACTAGCCTACGGCTAAAAATCACAAAAATAAAGAAAAACATCAACAATCCTTCTTCTTCTTCTTAATCTCTTTATTTTACTTCGGTCTTTGTTCCGCAATCTAGTGTCAATCACCGACGGACATCGATTGCCCATCGAATGTGCAGGAAGGCTGCTTCCACACCCTGCGTAGGATATCGCACCCATTCAACACACATGGGCTGGGACCAACGGCATTTCTGCCCTTCCGAAGGAAGATGTGATCAGAGATTTTTAAACCACAGAAAATTTCCACCGACCTGGGATTGAACCCAGACCCATTGAGGTTAGAAGCAGTCACCACCGGCGCAGGCATGATATACCTAACCGATTTAAATACAACAAATCTGATTAATCATTATTATGAACAGCAACAAGCAGGCATGGAAAATCATTTGCATTCATTTACATTCATTTGCCCTTAACTTTTTTCATCAATAAAATTCCGCAAAATGATGTATGGAGCTTTTGTAGGTTTTGTTATTAGCTACAACTTTTGTTAAAAATCTTATGAATGACGACGAACCAGAGCGAACAGAAGCCACTACTGTTTTTTAGTGAATGTATTTTACATTCACTGAAAAACTGTAACAAGTTCTACCCGCTCTAATTCGTGATGCATAGGAGATACAGATTTGAGCTATGGGCAAAAGTTGTAGCTAATAAAAAAAAGCCTACTAAAGCTCTATACATCATTTTGCGGATTGCTGTTGATGAAAAAAAGTTAGAGGCAAATGAATGAAAATGATTTTCCATGCCTGGTAACAAGCCTTAATAGGCCATTATCCATATATAGTGAAACCAAACCCATTCTTACTATAGTTTTAAAAATTTAAAATTTAAAGGATTCCGATTCATGTTAGGTTTTAGCCATTTACTAAGAAATGTCTGAAATAATTCTGGATGGAAAGCGGGCTAACACGCGCCACGGGGTGATATCACTAATGGTATATTTTCTTGAACTTTTTAAAGATAGCACTCAGATCAGTAGTTCACCTAATAATTTTGGGTTAAAAAAATTCGCAGTTTGAAAAATATCTAAATCGTTGTTTTTTATTATATTATCGAGTATATTACCATATTACAATGGCACGTATTGGGGCTTATTACGGATGTCACTTCACGGTGAAAACTTGTCACTTGTCGTCACGGTGAAGTGATTCCCATTTGATTTGTACGGCAATCACGGCCCTTATTCCGAATATCACTTCCTTATCACTGTGTAGTGACACCCTTAATAAGGCCCATTATCTCACCTAGAACTTTATTACAAATGGATTGGATTTGGTCTAACTGGGCATCCAGCATCATTTAATACACTTAAGTTTTAATAAAACTGGTTTGATGTGTCACATGATAGATTCTGTTGTTAATTAAAAGTTCCGATCAGTTCTCTGCGATTCCAAGGTAGAAATATGTCTGTATGTTTGATGAGTCCAGGTGATTCAACATCGAAATCCCAGCGTACCCATTAAATTTGTCTAGTCCATTGCTGGATCTTTAAACTCAAATAATATTTTTTCGAAACCTTCTTTAACTGCTTTCAGAAAACATCCGAACCTTCCCTGAATCTACCTAATCATTTTATTCATTTACCTATGAAATAATATATAAATTATTCACGAGAAAACTACAAATACAAAATACAATAACCTCTCGATGAACATTTCAAATGGTCCTATCTGCTTTGATCCATTCTCTTCGTCGACTTTCTCTTTTGATAACCACTGTTATGCAAACAGATTTCGCGCTAATTTTACAAGATATTTTGATAAAGGAGATTCTTATCTAGCATCCAAAACGTCAAATACAATAAGGGAAAGGTTTTGCAGCTGAATTATTAACGGAAGAGAAAGTCGGTGAAGAGAATCAATCAATGCAGATAGGACCTTCTGCAATGTTTATCTAGCCCTCTATTTAACTAATAACGACTAATAGACTCATATGAATGTTTGTTTTTGAATTAATTAACGAATTATATACAACCATTAAAATGATGTATTTATTTACAATTAGTTTAATTTAAGCATAAATCTACATACAGAGATCGATTCTGTAGTTTTGGCATCACTGCACTTTTATATTCAAAATTGTCAATCCAGCAGGGAAAAAGCTCTCAGTGTGAACTGAGCAGGAAAAAAGCTCTGAACAGCAGGCAAATGTGAAGTTAGCAGGAAAAAAGCTCTGCGGAGCAAAAAAATGTGAAGCTAGCAGGAAAGTTTTTTTTTCTTGCTGGTAGTTCGTCGTTTGATACATAGGCGGCGCAAACAAAAAAAATTTTCCTGCTCGAATTTTCCTGCTAGTTTGGCAGAGGTGTTTGAAGACGTTTTATTTTGGCATCGATATCGAGTGTTTGTTGTTTGTTTGTCTTATGAGAATAAAATTTAATTTTCATTGATTTGCTCGTCGTTCTTCCTTGTTATGAGCAAAATAATACATAATTTAAATCATACTTAACCACGAGAGATGGCCCAGTGGATGAAAATCGCCTGCTTAAACAGACAGCTCCAGCTCAAGACTACCCTCACCGGCGGGCAGAGCTTCCGGTAAGTGTTAACGAGCATTCCCTATTGCATTCCCTAATGTAATTGTAACCCAACTTGCAGGTGGAAGCAGCATGGAACCACTGAAGATGAGTTCATCGGAGTGTTTGCCAACATCGTCTGGATTCTGAAGCAAACCGAGACGGAACTGCTGTTCAGAATCGTCGGTGAACTTTCGTATCCAAATGACAGCAATCTGGATGTTGTCTCAGCGAAAAACGCTAAAAAGCAACGAACGTCAATTGAGAAGACAAATCCGGCTGAAATCCGCCTCAAAGTACCCGAACCGGAACAGTATTCCTCCAAAGGAAAGCTACTATATCCTAAAAGCTACTACATAAGTCTACTCCGGGTCTACTTCCGGTTGGATGTAGATTTGGAACAGTGCTACCAACAGTGGAACAAGTGCCATACGCATTTCGAGAACAGTACGGACCAATTTTACGCCGTCCGCCAGCTGGATCAGGACCCGGTGGAGAACCTGTTCTCTTTTATCTGCAGCCAGAATAATAACATTTCGAGGTGAGTGGTTAACTGTTTCCCAAAATATTGGTTTTTATTTTATGGAACACTTGAGTCCCGACAGAATTTCCGGTTTGGTGGAGAAAATTTGCACTCACTACGGTGAGAAAATCTGCGACTATAGTGGGGCGCCTTTCTACAACTTTCCTGACGTTAGTTCGCTGGCTCCAGCGGCAGTAGACGACCATTTGCGGCAGCTGAGCTTCGGCTACCGTGCCAAGTATATCCAAAAATCGGCCGAGGAAATCCTCGCCAAAGGTAATCTGGAGTGGTTCCGGAAGTTGCGCCATTTGGACTACAAGGAGGCACATCGAGAGTTGCTGACGCTGACCGGGATCGGTCCGAAGGTAGCCGATTGCATCTGTTTGATGTCGTTGAATCACCTCCAGGCTATTCCGGTCGATACGCACGTGTTCCAGATTGCCCGCAACTATCTGCCTCACCTGGCCAAGTGTAAGGCCGTTTCGGGGAAGATGTACGGCGAGATTGGCGATAAGTTTCGGGAAATTTACGGACCGAAGGCGGGCTGGGCGCAGACGGTGCTGTTCTGCGCCGATTTGCGACAGTTTAAGGAGGGCGCGGCCGGAGCGGGGGAGGACGCGGATGGGGTGAGTGAGACTAAGGTAAGTAAGAAGAAAGGGAAGCGGTAAGTGAATAAAGCGTGGAGTTGAACTTGGTTTTGGGGAAAGGTTTGCTATCCGAACTTCCCAGAAGGGTTTCAAAATTTTCGGATGGAACTGACAAGATTTCGGGCAATATTTCAACATCTTTCATGATGTTGTTTTTATCTTTTATTAAAAATGTTATGCTTCTCATTTGATGATAAAAATATGCATCTAAAATAGTAACTTAAAGCTATTGAAAAATGAATGTCATTTGACAAAATATGTATATCTACTATCGGATCCAAAGGATCCTAAAATCCCAACAGTTCATTAACAGCACTTCTAAAGCATCAGACCTCGGAACATTGGTGATTCAATCACATTGTATTCCCTTCTCCTGTACACATTTGTATTCGTTTTACGATAATACTGTGCTCGAATCTACACGACATTGTTAACGAACCAATGCAGTCGCCCACCGGCTGCCGGATCATTGGCTGCCACTGACGGGTGCCAGCGGTGGAGGAAATGGGGCATTCTCCTCGTAGATCATGACCAGCTTGCTGTACTTCATTTGTCGTTTGACTTTCCTGGTTTTGTTTTGAGATTCGCAATCGTCGCTGCTACTGCCGGAGGTGGTGTCGCTCAGCGAGAGTTTGGCCGAAAGACCTTCCAGCTCGAGATCCAGATAGAGTTGACCGAGTTGGTCATTGACTAGAATGGGCTGAATGGGAATAAGGAGAAGAATACAGATAAGAGAGTGTATGCTCGACGAGCGAAGTGTTCGAGAGCTACCTGGTTGAGATTCTTCAGCGCGGCCAAATCAGAGTCCAGGAGGTCCTTTACGGATCGTTCGTTGATCTGGTACCGGTAGATCAGTTCCTTGGTTTGACAAACGTTGTCCAACCAGGGGGGATTGGGTCTTCGCTTCGTTTGGCTGGTTTTGACTGAACTACTGTCCCATATCATCTCGATCGATTCCTTCTTCTCGGCACCGTTGCTATCCGACGAGTTATCAGTCTTTAGGAAGCTCGAGTAGAAGCTGGAGAAACTGGACTCATCCATATCGTCGCTGATTTCTCCGAGATGGCCGGGCGTTTTGGTCCCTCTGGACCGCAGCTTGGTCATATCTTCCAGCTGGAAGTCACCGCCTACGTTGGAGATCCCCGGTGAATCTGTACATCCTTTCTTGGATGACTCTGAAAAGGCCTGAAATGAGAACGGAAAGCACGCGTTAGTGGAAAAGCGTCCTTTTTTTTCGGTTGGACCGAACGTGTACTAAAATCTGCAACGAAAGGAATTCTATTTTTACCCGGTTAACCATCGACGCCGATGCAATACTTCCCATATTGGATCCGGGTTCCGCTTTGACCGAGGTTGCCTGGGACGGTGACCGTTGGAAGCGCTGTGTCTGCACTTGGGATCTGCATCCTCTCCCGGCCGACGGTGGAAGGCTTTGAACCGAATGTTTGCTGCCGATGTCGCAGAGACCGGTTCTGTCCGGAAATCCAGATTGACTGTGCATCCCATTTGAACCGTTTTGGTTTGCTGGAAGCTGTGGTGGTTGCTGCTGCTGCTGTTGCTGCTGCTGAGAGGAAATTGAAGTTAGTATGCTTTCATTTGGTAGATGTAGGGAGGGGGGTGTAAACGTACGTTTCGGGCACCGGAAGCAAGTCCGCACGGTGGAGGAACTGGTTGGTAGGGCATGGCGTGGTACATCATCGGAGGGTACAGCACGGACTGCTGGTACAGCTGTGGATGTGGATACATGACACCGGCCATGTATGGCAGAGTGATGGAGTTTAGGCGAGGTAGTTGTAATTCAAGACTCGATGAAGTCGGCTGGGGAGGCGCCGGGATGTAGTACAAGGTGGGGAAGATGCTGGCGTTTGATGGCACGATATTTGTGTTTACGTTTGCACTCTGAGTGGCATGTATCGTCGTAACGCTCACGGAGAACGGTGGACGGGGGAACGTGTATGCGTGTGAGACCGAAGGCAACTGTGATCCTATCGAGACTGCTGTAGTCGTGACGATGGATGAACAAGGATGTGGAACGGCGGAACCTGGCAGGTGTGAAGGTTTTGTAAGTGCCTGCGACTGTGGCTGCTGTTGGTAGTCGGTAGCGGTGTCAGGATTGTGCTGATGTTTGACAGTCTTATGAATGTCTCCTTCCCACGAATGGGATGATCCTCGTTTAACTCCGTGAGCGATAATGTTGGCATAGGTTTTATCCGGCGGTCCTTTCTTGCTCTTATCGGTTCCCCTCGCCAGAGTGCGTGCTTCACGGTGCTTCTTCAACATAACCTTCTGCATATCTTCGTTGTGCTGACAGAGTAGCTCTTCAGTTAGAGCCGGAGGATGGAAACTTCCCGAAGAAGTTCCCGTGTTTCTCGTGGTATTGGTAGTGCTGTCCGTCTGGGCATTGCTCTCGGAACTGAAGTTCCCTGCACTGCCTCCGCTCTCACCACCACTGCCACTGAAGCGTTGATCCCCGTCAATCGTCTCCGTATTAGTTCTAACGGACGAATCGACCTTTACCGATTCTTTTACGTTCATTACTGGCCGACTTTCGAAAAACCGTTGCAGGTTATCGTTGTAGTTGAGCTGATTGTAACTGGGCGGTGTTTCGGAAGAACTTTTGCTGTCAAAGTAATCATGATGTGGCGATATTTCCCCAAGCATGACGGAGTCCCGTTCGGAAAATGTAAAATCAGATTCATTCAACACGTTAAGTTTGAGTTCCGGTTGCGTCACTTCGTCCATCAGTTCCTCCATGAACGAGGCGAGTGCTTTGCATCGTTTCGAAACCTCCTGTTTTACCATATCGGAGGGCTTCGCTACGGGTTCCCTCAACAGCCGCAAGATCTGCTCTTCAATTGTCCTCGCCTCCTTCAGCAGTTCATCCGGGAAGGGATGAGAATCTTTGCAGTAGAATTTCGACGCAAACACATCCGGATTCGAGGGCCCTTCCTGAATGATGTGATTCCCAATGACAAACTCCAACTCCCGGGACCACGGATTGACGAAGCTGGCCCACTCCGTTTTTAGCAAAATGTAACATCCGTTGCTCACCAGAAACCGGTAGGGTTGGCTTACGAACGACGCTCCCGCCGTCTGCCCTTTTACCATAACCGTTTCGTAGACATTCTTCAAGATGGGCATATCTTCCGGATGGTACAGTTCCATAATCGACCGGCCCAAGATATCCTGCGGCAGGTAACCAATGGATTCAACCGAGTTTCCATCGACGTAGTTCATTACTCCGGTGGTCGAGTGGCGAGTGCTGAACTTGACTTGCTTATCCTGCAGTGGTTCATTCGGTGCATTGTAGACACTCTTGACCGGAGTAGCCGAAATGATCAGCAGAATGTTTCTCCCGGTATTTGGAATGACTTCACTATTCTCACTTGGTGCTTCCCGGAAAGTCAACACCAGCCGATAGGGCTCGTAGTTGACCGTAGTTTTGGTAACTCCAAAACCAGCGCTTTTCAAACCCCTGTACTTTCTCAGCATCACGTAGAGCGAATTTTTATGGTCCTTATGGCCGGAACCATTCTTGGATTCACCCAGCGGGACGACCACCTTCGACGTAATCTGACTGGCGAACGTCGCTCGGTCCTTCGGATGAACGAAGTCGATAAACGATCGACCCAGCCACATGTCACTCGGGAAACCCAAACTGGACGTAATGCTTGGCGTCGTGAATAGAACCACCCCATCGTGCATCGATATAACGCAGCAAAAGCCATTTTCCGTTTCCGATTTTGTCATTTGCGGACCCTGCGGTGGTATCTTAATGGCTTTCAACTCCTCGCAATCGGTTTCGTGACTTTCCTCCATCGGTGTAGCTCTGCAGCCCACTGGTGATGGTCCTGGAAGTACACATGACATCCGGGTAGCTTCACGTCCAACAGCTGAATCCTGCGGCGCCAAGCTCTCATCTGAAAGAAAACAACAACAACAACAACTAATCAAACACTTTTTCCAACTTCTTACGCGAACAAAGCGAAGCCAATGCTGTCCAAAAAACAAAGCACTATTTCCGTCAGTACAATCGGTTACCTTTTGCGGTAGTTTCGTCGTTGCTTTTGACGACAATGGCACTCGGGACACCCGTTTCGTTAACGTGACCGTGCTGCTGCTGCTGGGCTTCACACTGCCCTGCGGCGGAAGCGATTGTTCCGGTTTGCTCGCACGGTTCTGCTACCGTCGCTACCGAAAATGACTCATCGGTCACGGTGCCGCAGCTGGTCTGCTGGCTGGGTTCGACCGAAGTTTTTTGCTTCTTCTTTTTGCGATCCTTCTCCTTTGTGCGCTTGATCGGCGGATGTGGGATGGGTCCATCCATAGCTGTCTGGGTGTTGTTGCCCTTGCCGCCATATCCACTGCTGCCGGACGAGTTGCTTCCGCTGTGACGGGATTTGGAGCTGCCACTGTAATGAAAGGGATAATGAAAAAGGACACGTTATGGGGCGGTCTTCTGGTTGAAGTAGCTGAGTATAGGTACTTGATAGACAAGTTCAAAAGGCAGAATGAAACGTGGAACTGTTGATGTACGATAATTACCCTAAATAAGTGAATCTTGCTTCAGGAGAATGCAAAAAGGCTTGATTTTCCATACTGTTCAATCGGACACTCCCGAATCGACCAATGTCGTCAAAGGAATTTCCTTATGATGTCAATAATGTGGACAACGAAATCCTTTGCCCGGATTTTACCATTTCTAAGAATCATTTTTTTCGTCAAAGAAAACAAGTAAATTTATCGGATTTTTCACGTAGAAAATGTAAATATGGGGCATAATAACCAACCAACTAAAGAGACTCGTATGAAATTAAATCAAATTAATCAAAATCAATAGGGCTAAAGTACTTGGTCTCTCGCGGCCACCTTTAAAACCAACATGATGCAAATTTTAAAATGTTTCACGGTGAGGTATGAGAGAAAAGTTTAAAATCGTTTTTTTTTTCAAATTAAATTTATTTAATAAATTTGATTATTGCTATTAAAGTCTTAACAAATATGAGGTGGTTAGAAGGAAAGGGGTGTAAGTGACTTTGATCGATTCTCTTCATCGACTTTCTCTTTCGTTAATAATTCAGCTGTAAATACATTCCTTGATTCGTGTGCCATTCTGGATGCTAGATGAGAACCTCCTTTATCAAACTATCTCTTTAAGTCTGACATTTGAAGTTAAGCAGCTCCAACTATGCTGTTTCTTTTGTTTTTTTTTGTTCAGTTTGATATGAAGTAGAAAACTTAGTTAGCAGAAACTTGGCCCCCCAAGGTTTACACACACTAAATCCTGATGTATGAATGTGAAAAAATATATTCTGTTTGTAGAGATCTGATTCCCCATAAGAGCTTTCCATCAAAAATGCAAAACGCCTAGTCAGATTAGTAACTTATTTGCTGACTTCTTTCAGGACGTAAATACAATTCACGATGAGAATGAGCGAAATTATCAATATTTTTCGTATCTCCCCGAGCCAATGAAGAACATCGCAGTTGATAATTTAACTCTCAAGGAAATTCTACGTGCTCTTGAAACCTTTGATGGTACTGCAATCATGCATGGTACAGGGGTTGAGTGGTCTGCCGAAGTAACCTAACTCGTGATGTTGTTCGATAAAAAGCTCCTTTTCCGTTCGCATGTAGGGAAAACCTCTACAAAATCTCTTTGATAATGAACCCAGCAACCATAAAAATTCTCGCAATGACCGAATACCACATGACCTTGGCAATTGCTTGAGCTTGAGCTTGAGCTTGATTGACCGCCCACGGTTGCTACTCTGTTATTGCCAGATCAGCTGTAATTACACAGAGAACCAATAGACGATGCTTGGGACTAGCAATCATCCTCAATGTGTAAAAACTGGTGATCTTAAATTAGGCAATACCAGCGCCGGCCGCGCCCGACCACAGGTCAAGAAAGGAATGGGAAGGATTGTGTTGACATGACACTCGCTTTGATGGAAGCCGAGAACACCTCTGCACTTCCACGAGGAATCATCACTGGGATGTTGGATAAGAGGGTTGGGTTTGCAGCAGGGTTCGTCTTGGTAAACGATAAGCTGAATATAAGCTTGGGACTAAACTCACGGTCTTCTGCTCAGTAAGCAAAAACGTTTGCCACTAGGCAGATGAGCACCTTTTTAATCACCGAGTTACTGTTATTACCATGTAGTCATATTAACAAATAAAACGATTGACGAATCTTGAATGTGGATGGGCCTGAGATTAGACTCATGATGTTCTGCTCAGTAAGCAAAAACGGTTGCTCTAAGGCCACCGAGCCTCTCATATCACATAATACCGTTGCTCAAATTTTTGTATCCATTCAAACCCGGAACCAACGACAACAAAGAGTTTCGCAAAATACACGATACACAAGCGATTTTACCATAAATCTCTTTGATATGTAACCGCGTTTTTCTGCTCAGTAAGCAGGCCACTGTAACCGACGATCTTTCAAATCTGAAAACTAAAAACTACGAAAAAGTACTTAGGCCTTCATTAAGTTCCACTTTCACGCGACGTTCAATGACAGGGTCCTATCCAGGATTACATCTGAAAAATCCAAATCTGGCCAACGCCCACCCTAAACCTAAACCAGTTCTAATGCACCTGAAATGACTAACGAATGGAAGACTGTGACTACCCAGCCATGCAATAGTCTCATTCCGTGCCTTATGGCAACTTGATGATTCTATTGCGCTCATCTTCTGGCACCACCCAGGGGAGACTTGGTCCTGTACCCAATGCTTAACTTATCTCCATTCCACTCAGCTTCTCGCAATTTCTTGTGATATAGTCGGCGGAATATTATTATATGAGACAATTCAATGCAGACGTCTTTCCAAATTTGGCAGATCGACAGGTAATCGGTGAGTTACCACGATAGTTGCTATTCAACAACTCGACAACGTCCCATCGTCAACGCCTGCTATGAGAATTTCCCATTGCAGACGCCAACGAAATGACGTCATCGAGCTATCGATCAACTACCCTGGTTATCGCCTGGTACCTTATAGCACGATGCTAGGAGGCGAACCGGAAGAATCGATGAGCTACCTCTCCCCCCGAATACCACATGACCTTGTCAATTAACCAGAAACACTTTGAATTAAAGTAAGGTTTTCTCCAGGACGCTAGAAAAAAACAAAACAATCTCGAATTTATATGATTGATCGCGAATATCTCGCTATTGGAAAATTTTCGCAATGTTTTCTTTTTTTATCTATTGAATAAACCAAAAATTCCATGCGTTTTGTACACGAAAATGCGTAATTTTGTCATCAGAAAACAAAGCGTTTCCGTGATGGGAAAAATGATTTCCCTAACACAGGGAGTTAAACGGCTTTCTTTTACCGGGGGCGGAGACTCGCACTCATCTGCTATGTCAGAGTCCAGTTTATCGGAAGACAAAATCTCATAACTGTTTCCATTTTGTGCGGCTGATGCCGACGAAGCAGAGGTTACATTTTGCAATTTGAGCATTTCTGAATACGTCAGCTTGGAGCGTTCTTTTATGAACCGTTTCACATTGTTGGTACGCTTCTTGTACGCGGGTCAGTCCTGCAAAGCATGAAGTGCCACAGTATCTGCATTTGTTACAACGGGGCTTATTGACACAAAAATCAGCTGAGTGTCCCAACTAGATCTGGGCGCCACCGCCGATAATTTTTCTCAAGCCGCCGCTGCTGATGATTTTAAGTAGGCGCGACGCCGTGATCATTTTTTACACTCCTTTGGTATAATCTGAAAACTTTGCAAGCGTATTTGACGAACTTACGAAGATCAAATAAGAATTGCTCTTTCGGATGTTCCAGCGAATGCTCTCAACTTCCGCGTAGGTGACATCGCAGATACGGATGTGCTCACAGCTCTGAGGAAAATGAAGCCTTCGGTGTCAGCTGGACCAGATGAAATTCCTGCTACCGTTCTGAAAAAATGTGCTGAGAATGTCTGTGGTCCCTTGAGCTTTATCTGCAATAAATCACTTTCAGACTCTGTATTTCCCGATAAATGGAAGGATTCGATAATGTTCCCGACGTTCAAAAAAGGAGACAAAAGAGATATCGCAAATTACCGTGAAGTAACATCATTGTGTGCTGGGTCGAAGCTGTTGGAGATACTGGTGTACAACATGCTAATTCGTGCTGCTAAGATGTACATATCCCCGGATCCAGATGGTTTTTTTTCCAGGGAGATCCACTGCCACTAACTTGATTCAGTTCACATCTAGCTGCCTCCTAAGTATGCACGATGGTCATCAAATGGATTCCATTTATACGGACTTAAAAGCCGCATTCGATCGTGTCAATCACCGAATCCTGCTCGCAAAACTCGAACGCTTAGGAGTTGAAACTCGGTTTGTCAAATGGATGAAATCTTACCTTGTGAACCGTCGTCTTTGCGGGAAACTTGGCACTTTTGAGTCGCACACCTTCAGCAACAGCTCAGGAGTTCCACAAGGAAGCAATCTTCAACCACTGTTATTTTCCCTGTTTTTCAACGATGTCTGCTCTCTCCTACCAGACGGGTGTAAAATCTTGTATACAGATGATCTAAAATTGTACTTGATAATACGATCTATAGATTGCCAGAAGCTTCAACAGTATATTGATCTCTTCGAAGGCTGGTGTGACAGGAATCATCTCGTTATAAGTGTGAAAAAACGTGCCGTGATATCTTTCACCCTCAAGAAATCTCCAAACTGCTGGCCATACACGATTCGTGGAGAAGCATTGGAAAGAGTTACAAGCATCAGGGATCTTGGAGTGGAGCTTGATTGCAAAATGACGTTTCGGGATCATTACTCCAACATCATCGCTAGGGCTAACAGAAATCTGGGATTCATCTTCCGCATTTCGAAAGAGTTTCGCGACCGGTACTGCTTACGATCACTGTACTACTCCCTTGTACGTTCCGGGCTAGAATCTGCTTCTGCCGTGTGGAGTCCTTACGACGAGGTCTGGATAAAAAGGATAGAAGCAGTTCAATCACGATTTGTAAGATACGCGCTCCGGTTCCTGCCTTGGAATAACCCAAACGATGTACCACCGTACGAGAGTCGCTGTCGCCTGCTAGGATTGACAACTCTGGAAAGCAGGCGAAGCCAACAGAAAGCAGTATTTGTTGCGAAGCTGCTGTTAGGAGAAATTGACGCTCCCTACATACTCTCGCGAATAAACCTTGGTATTACACCCAGACAACTCCGTCAACGGCAGATCTTGAAGCTTAACTTTCAGAGGACCGATTATGCTCAGAATGAACCTATTAGGGCAATGTGTGTTGAATTCAACCAAGTTTTTTTTATCTATTTGATTTCAATGTTAGTATTAATGTTTTCATTCAACGACTTCGATCAATGCTATAGAGTTAAGGGTGCCTAGTGTAAGTTAATTCATGTAGACCGTGGTTTGTCCGA